AATCTTACTTGTCTCAATCATATAATTCCCCATAGACTGCTTATTTTAAAAATAAAATTGATATAGTTTGATATTGATTTTAGGCCACTTTAAAATGCATGCTTAGGATGTCTTCCAACATTTTTGCACTTCCATTTGCTCTTGAAGTGATTTAAGTAATTTTTTCTTTAAGAAAAATGACATTTCAGTATGTAAATGTGGGGCAAATAGTATTCAAGTACCTTGCTTCTAGTTGAGAAGGCAGGAAGAGGCCATCTCAGTTGATGCTTACCCTTGTCATATTAATTTCCCAGAGTTCTAATAGTTGTACAAATGGGGAGAAGACAATAAAGTAAGCTGCCATATCTTAATGCAAAGTTAGTCCAGAGACCCCTCATATTTGCAGGGAGATTTTCTTAATTACTAAGTGTCTGATGTTTTCTTAAGTTATAGTCATATACAGACTCTACTTTTCAAAGTCACAGCTATTAATCAAAAAAGGGTGGAGAGAGCTATTCCCAGGAGCTGCATTCAGTATTAAAGCTTGACAAGACTAAGGTTATTACATAGAGAGGTAAAATAGTAGGAGAATTTTAGGAAGCATTAAGTCATCTATTTTATTTAATGTACATAGTGCATTTTATATTATAATGTGTTTTATAAAAATGTAAGAGAAAGATGCATGTTTCAATGTTTCTGGATCTGTTTTGTTCATCAGTTTATTTTGTTCATTAGATTCCACATATAAGTGAGATCATGTGATACTTGTCAGACTTATTTCATTTAGCATAATACTTCCCAGGTATTGCAGAGGGAAAGGGTGGGAGTGGTGGGAAGAGATTAACCTAAGGACTTATAGGCATATATACATAGCCCATGGGCAAACAATAGTACTGGGAAGGCCTGGGAGAGGGCAGGAAAGGGAAGGAGGGGATCAAAGGAGGAAAGAAAGGGCATCTATAATACTTTCAACAATAAAAAATTATATATATATGAAGTTAATGACACATACACATACTCGGGCAAACAATATGTATGTCCAGTTGACCTTTAATTTGAAGATCTTTCTTTCTGAATATAATATACCATTTACCAGAATGTTCCAGGGCAAAAGAAAACACACAAATAAACAAAAAATTAACTAAAAAAACAAAAGTCCCAGTATTTGTGTTGGATGTGTTTTTGTATAAGATAAACTCTAAAAAGGAAATAAAGTTCTCAACAAAATTTGGGTCTATTTTCTGGTTATATTTTGCCCTTGTCTCTTTTTCACCCTTTCTAGGACAGTTCCTGGTTAAACAAGACAGTCTCCATCTTTGCAGTGCCTCCTCAGGCATGGCAAGGGATATAGCTTCTGCAAGGGTTAGCTATTGAACTGGATCTACTCTGCAGCCAAGAGAGGTCTTAGTTACAGGTGGCAAGCTTTTCACTTCTCATTCTAAAGAAATTCATTTCTCTAAAGGATCCCTTGCTCTTACCTCAGATTTTTCCTCTGTCTATGATGGAGGAAAAGGAAAAAATAGCTTAACACCAAATCAAATTTTTTCTAAGTAGTCTAATCCCAAGTTACACTTTAATCAGAAACATGTTTATTTGCTAACCATTTATCTCATAAAGATCTATTGGGGATAAATTGATAGGTGTTTTAGAATTAAACGATTTAAGCTTTTTCTTTTTATTTCTTTTTTTAATGCATGATATCATTGACTTGATTCTCACCATTGGCTTGTCATTCTACACATTAACAAGTCAGAAGATTGATTTTGCTTCTCAGAAAACGGAAAAAAATGGTGATGTATAAAACAGTGAAAACACAGAGATGATATGTCCAAACGGGTCCTCTTCTATAAAATAAAGCATATTGCAAGAAAGTGGATGATAACACAAAGGATAAATAAATTGATTGGTATTAACTGAAGTAACCGGCTGCTACCATGATAGTGCTGACAAAACTAAAAATAAGAAGCTGTAGACTGCCCATAGTATCTGCCTAGTCATAACTGCTAGCAGGCAGAGCAGACTCCCCCTAGCCAAAGGCAGTTGCTCACTATTGCCCCTACCACCCTGCCTTCCCTGCACACAGAAAAGACAGACCTGCTAAGTATTTCATCTGTGTCCTGGAAATAAGCTTTCCCTTTACAACCTCACCAAGTCCTAATAAAATAGTCGGGTGGTGGGAGAAACACAAGCCTGGGCCCCGAAGCAATGTTTTCAGACAAGACTAAGACAAGGAAGGCATGAGCAATTTGTTTGAGCAAGAACTGACAGTATCAACAAAGTGTGATGTGCCTGTGGAGCAGTGTTTGATAAATGGGAGGCAGCCATAAACATGAGAAGACAATCCAGTGGTGCTTTGCACCCCCTCCCCCTTCTAGGTTTTTTTTTTCTTCTTCTTTAAATCCTCTCTCTCTTTTGGTGTATTAATATGGCCTGATCTAAGATGCTCACAAGTACACAGATATCATTGGGCCGGTGCTCTCTCCCTGGTTGCTGTATCGGACACTTATTTATTTATTTGGACCTGCTGCTGGTGCTGCTGCTGGTTGCAGTGGTGCATTTTCCCTGGCATACCCACACGCCTTCCACCCCACCCCCAGTGGGCTGTGAAAGCGACACTGTCTTAATCAGTGGTTTACATACTTAATAAAAGACACCCATGCCCTTAAAAAAAAAGAGAGAGACTGCAGCTGATGGAATCTTCCGGGTAGAGAAAGTAAATCCTCCTCGGGCTGAGAGCGAGAGGGGCACCGGCAGACAGTTATTTCGCAGTGCACTGAATAGACAATTCGCAGGGAAATGTTGAAGGCAGAGAGGAGACGACCCCCAAGTGCAGTCCATTGCCCACACGCTCTATAATAAATAATCTTCGAGCCCCAGCCCAGCAGTGTGTGCAATGACGTGCTGGGGCCAGCTCACACAGATTGGCGAGGAAAACATATCCAGCGGTGTCGAATTTTCATCACAATCACCAAATTAACTGATTTCCCCACATAACACTCCTCTACCCGGCGTGGCGCGAGCGCGGGAGCGCGCGTGAACACACACACACACACACACACACACACACACACTCGCGCGCGCACACACACACACACACACAGGCAGGCACACACACACAGGAGCTGAGAAATACAAGTTACTGAGAGGTGAAGCGGGGTCGCTGGGAGAGTGTTTCAGCACCGATTAGAAACCCAAGTAACGTGTCAGCCGGCTACCAGGGTTACTTGTGCGAGGGTGGGGGTGTGAGCGCTGGGAAATGGGACGAGGCAGCCTAAGCAGGAAGAATGGGCTGTCTGCCTTCTCGGGGATTACGGCGTATGACATATCTGAAATTTACATCCAACATAAAATACACAAGATTGCCACCAAAATATTCTAAAGAATACCTCTGCAAGGTCAGCTAGTTAATTCGGGAAAATTCTGTCCACTAGCTCTTCTTTCATATTCATAAATATGCATACATAAAATACGGTCCCGGTCTGTATCCCGGAGGAGGACAGGAGAGAGGATGCATTCCAAGAACTTGCTGAAAGATGGTTCATTGACCTCATTTAAATCCTCCAAAGGCCGAGTGGGTTTTGCACGCCTGTGGGTCTACATGTGCTTTACTTTCACATTCCTTTTACCCAGAGACACATACATTTGATCAACTTATCTTTCCGCACATACACAAATAATGACAGAGGGGTTATAGGTGGGCAAAGATTGAAGGAGAAATCAAGAGTCACCTAGCTTTAAAAAAAAAAAAAACCCTATCGACCATCCTTTCACATCCATTCTCCCCGAATCTCACACTCAAACCACAATCCCCACACTACTCTCTTCAAAGCAACAATCTTCCTCCTTACAGCCCCTGCCCGCCGAGCCCTAGAACGCCGCCTCCGCCTCCACCACCACCCCGAAGTGTGCTCTCCCCGTGCACTCCTCCTCCAAACACCGCCGCTTATTTCCCCATCAGCACCGTCCTCCCGGTGCCCACAGACCCTCCCTCCCTCCCCCAAAAGCGCGTCTGGGGGACAGTGCACCTCAGCTCCCTAGTCCCTCCGCATCCAAACCCAGGGATTTGCATAATCACAGTGTTCTGTGCAGTTTCCCTCCACTGCGGTCCTCGGGGTTCTCACATTTTACGTGGAAGGGTAGCATTAATTACGGAAAGAAGCGGCAGAGAGCGGATGGAGAGGTCGGGATCTAAGCGAAAACCCCGAGCAGAAAGTAACTGTTAGGATGCATATATTTCTTTGCTGGGGGGGGGGGGGGGGGGGGAAAAAAAAAAAAAAAAA